AATTTGTTTGAACCTTTAACTGGCAATAGTACAAAATGGTGGAAAAAAAAGGTTTTCAGTGTTTTCACTGGCCAACATAGCTGCATTTTGTAAATATAAACTAATTTAGAATTTGATGCCTGCAACATACTCAAAAACGCTGGGACAGGCTAAAGAACACTGTAAAGTTTACAGAATATCAGAATCAGCTTTATTGGCCAGGTGTGTTGGACACAGGAGGAATTTGACTGTATTAAAATTGTAATTTGAATATTACAGGTTAAGTGGTCACAGGTGAGGGTATTGTGACTGGGTATAGAAGGAGCATCCACCAAATGCTCAGTCCTTGTAGTCAAGTATTGATCATCAAATGTTATTCCAAACTTTGTGAGAGAATTGTCAGTCAGTTCAAAGGGAATATTTCTCAACAAAAGACAAAACAATATAGGTCTTTCACAAACTACAGAACATAATATTGTGAAAAGATGCAGGGAATCTGGGGAAATCTCAGTGTGTAAAGGCCAAGGGTACAAACCACTGCTGAATGAATGTGACTTTTGAGCCCTCAGGAGGCAGCGCATGAGAAACTGTCATGCTGCTATGATAATATAGTCACATGGGCTCAGGAGTACTTTGGAAAACCATTGCTACCTAACACAGTCCGCTGCTGCATCCAGAAATGCAACCTGAAACTTGATTAAGCAAGCGGTAGCCCATAGATCAATGGTGTGCTGAAAGGCCACCGAGTTCTCTGGGCCTAAGATCATCTCAGTTAGACTGAAAGACATTGAAAACGTGTTCTGTGGTCAGCTTGTTTTTTCAGAAAAAATTGATGTCAGGTTCTTTATGCCAAAGATTAAAAAGACCATCCAGACTGTTATCAGTGAAAGATGGAAAAGCCAGCATCTGTGATGGTGTGTGCGTGCATTACTGTTCACGGCATGGGTGACTTGTATATAGTATGTGCAAAGGTACCATTGACACAGAGGTGTATATTGTGATTATAGAGAGACAGTGTAGTGAACTAACAGCACAACACAGGCATTTCTACCCACCCCGGTGATCAGTCCAGGTGAAACTGATAACACTAATTAGTGCTACTTCACTTCATGTGAAGAAAGCAGTCTACAAAATTGTATAGAAAACAGCTATGCTAAAACTTTTTTAAGCCATGTGATTTTTACGCTAAAAATAAAAATAATATTTAAGCCATCCTTCAAAGTGCAAAGGCTTTTTGTTGATTTTGCATGATTACTGGTCTGCATAATGGGCAGTCTCCTTATTTTTCCCTCTGAGTGGTCCCTGCACTCTTAAATTAGCTACTATAGGCATCAGGAGTAGCTGAGTGAAGAACAGATCAGAGTGTATTTGAAGAAGAGGCCTAGGAAAGAAAACTATTTTTTAAGTGCTTATGGGTAATTTGCTAGGGTGCCAGTAGGACCCCATTCTAATGGGGGATAAGGGTGGGGGGTGACGGCCTCTTGCTTGATTGTTCTGGTTGCTGCTGTGTTTTCTGTCTGCAGGGGTGAACTGGTATAATCATGTTATGGGACATACCTGGACCCAGTGTACACCCAGACCTACATACGTAAGTATGGAGCCGTGGCCAGTAATTAGGTGCTTTTCCTCGGCATCCCTTGGCGTGTGGTTTCTTATTTTTCATGTTTGTTTTGTTTTACAACACAAAGCCCGTGCACCACATTTTCATTCCCTTCACTACTGACGTTACAGATGTTTTACCCACATATGTGATTAGTATCTTTAGTTCAGTTAGTTTAGTTTAGTTTTTTTTAATTGAGGGGGTTTGACTATTGTTTAGTATATTATTATTCCTCATGTGTGTCTCATGTTTGCCACAGTCTAGGTGCCTGGCTGTGATACATTGTTACACTGCTTTGTTCTATACAATTGAATTCTAAGGTAATAGTCAACTTACTCATGTTTCTCACACTGGAATAGGTAGGTAGGTAAGTAGGTAGGTACTTTATTGATCCCTCAATGGGAAAATTTCAGAAGCAATGGAGAACAAACATCATAACACCATGAGAAACAAACACCACACACATATCTTGATATTACAAATTTCAGTACCTCAAGCAGCAATAGAAAACAGAATGATATCTTGATTTCGATTAAAAAAAAATCTTTATAAGGTATTTACAGAAATATGAAACAAAAACATTACAAAACAGTATAAAAAGGACAAAGTGACAAAACATTTAAACTAAAGGTATAACAAATTAGGAAAAAGACAAAATATAAGAATACAATAAGTTTAATTAATAAATTAACTAATATGTTCTCCTTGGAAGGATACTGACTATCCCTACCATTAAAATGTCAATTTCAAGTATTTTTTTTCATCCACCCAGTGCCTTTACCTGCTGACTCCTATTTAGTGTCATTGTTAATAAACAGTAACAAACTGATCGTCATATTAAATTGCTTAAGTGTATGCTGCTTTGTTTCCCCTAACCTGAATCTTAACATTATCCTAACCACAACCACTGAGGGGAGCAATACATGATATCGAGTTTCGAACAGGGGAAACAGATCTCAATGGGGGAACAAAAAACACTAACAAATAAGCTGTGATTTTGGCATTGACAATACCTCAAATCCTACCTGACATGTTAGAGCCTGAATATTAAAGTGGACAAACCACAATGGCAGTTTGAATGGCATTAGTTTGAATTTCTCCTCCATGGATAGGTAAACAACAGTATATACAAATGAAAAGAGATTTGTAACACTAAACAAAGTGGATGATTGAGAAACCCAGTATTTTAACTGGCATGATGCAGACATAGTAATTTCTCCAGCCTTACAACAATTCTCTACAGAAACAATCCATTAATGCGCATTAATGGACATGCAGTGTGTTTTTTTTTTATACTTGCCATTAAGTCCCGCTGAGTAGTGAATCCCTTTCAAGTAGCTCCAAGGTTGGTAAACCCAACCAGTGGTCACTGCATCTTCCCCCACATGACCACATACAGTACAGTCCCTAAATTAATTCCAAGAGGTAGCGTAGCACTGATAATAATATCATGGATTGTTAGAATCCTCTCACCATCCCGCAACACACCACATATGGTATTCACATTGGCCTCAAGCTGTCAAAACAAACAGGCACTGTGCGCCAAGGGAATCCAGCATTAATAAGGTGATCGTTCACCACCCCAGGGTGCTTCATTGGCTGGCTGATTGTAGGTTAGACCTGGTCAGGTAAAACGAGTCCCTGTACATGCAGTAACCTCAGGCCCTGTATTTTTCTCCACATCCTCTTGTCACAGTGCAGGCAGCAGAAGGAAAAATATAGCCACAAAACTGTGTGCAGTCGATATATTCCACTTTTAAAATGGCACCGGTGGATGTCAGGTAAGCTCGCATGAACGCTACACTATGTAGCAGAAATGCTATATACTAGAAATGAAGCCTTTAAAAGGGTACATATGTCCAAGTCTGTTGTTGATTGGCAAAACTTTCATTTATGTAACACTTGTTTTTTAGCAATATCAAAAACTAAATCATCTTACTTTATCTCAGTTTTATCCAAGTGTGATGGTAAGGCAGTAAGGTTCTGGAAAATTATTAGATCAATGTCATGTCAGATATCTCCTAGCTTGTCCCTTCGACCTTTTACCTGTGGTGTAGTCCTAAATGCTCTTTCTTCTTCTTCTTCTTTCGGCAGTTCCCGTTAGGGGTTGCCACAGCCAATCATCTGTTTCCACCTAACTCTATCCTCGGTATCCTCTACTCTCGCCCCAATTAACTTCATGTCCTCTTTTAGCACATCCATATATTTCCTCTTTGGCCTTCCTCTTGACCTCTTGCCTGGCAGCTCGATCTCCAACATCCTTCTACCAATATTACCACTATCCCTCCTCTGCACATGTTCAAACCATCTCAATCTGGCCTCTCTGACCTTGTCCCCAAAACAGCCGACCTGAGCTGTCCCTCTGATGTGCTCATTCCTAATCCTGGTCACTCCTAAAGAGAACCTCAACATCCTCACCTCTGCTACCTCCATCTCTGCCTCTTGTCTTTTCCTCACTGCTACAGTCTCTAACCCATACAGCATAGCTGGTCTCACTACTGTCTTGTACACCTTTCCTTTGATTCTTGCTGACACTCTTCTGTCACACATCACTCCTGACAACTTTCTCCACCCACTCCAACCTGTCTGCACTCGCCTCTTCACCTCTTTCCTACACTCCCCATCACACTGGACTGTTGACCCCAAATACTTAAACTCCTGCACCTTCTTGACCTCAGCCCCCTGTAACCTAACTGTTCCACTTCCCTCCCTCTCGTTCATACACATGTATTCTGTCTTACCGCGACTGACTTTCATTCCTCTTCTTTCCAGAGCAGACCTCCACCTTTCCAGGTGTTCCTCCACCTGCTCTCTGCTCTCACTACAGATCACAGTGTCATCCGTAAACTTCATTGCCCATGGAGATTCCTCTCTGACCTCATCTGTCAACCTGTCCATCACCATAGCAAACAAGAAGGGACTCAAAGCCGATCCTTGATGATAATGATCCTTGAACTTCTCTGTCTGACCTACAGCACATCTCACTACTGTCGTACTCCTCTCATACATGTCCTGAACTACTCTGACGTACTTCTCTGCCACTCCTGACATCCTCATACATAGGGCTGCTCGATTATGGAAAAAATCATAATCACGATTATTTTGGTAATGACTGAAATCACGATTATTTTACACGATTACTAATTGACTTTGGAAATATGTTGCATTTATTGAACAGAACTGAAAAACAGATTAAGACAGATAAAACAGATAAAGGCACACAAGACCAAGAATTTAGTGCACTTCCACAACTTTTTTTAAAAACAAGTAATAAATAAAATATTAATTATAAATAAAATAATAAATAAATTAGTCCAAAATAAGTTTACTCATGTATGTGCCTTGACAAACTGAAAAATTCTAAACATTTTACAACATTCTACATTTTAAACATAATTAACAATAAAATTCCAATCAGTAACTCAGTCCAATAATATTTTAAGATTGGCATACCATGGCTTAGAACTAACAGAAAATAAGTTGAACTTCAACTATAGCCTAAGTAAATATGTTTCAACATGGCCAAAATGCTGGTAGGGTTACAGATATAAACCTTAAAGGTTTTTAGCCAGAAACACCAGCCCATTCACATAATCTGGTTTCAGTGATGAACGCAAGCAGGAGACAATATTTCCGCCAGTGCTAAAGACTCGCTCTGATGAAGAACTTGTGGCTGGAATACAAAGATATTTCCTTGCCAGGTTGGAAAGCCGTGGGTAGATTCTCTGAGATTCCTTCCACCACTTCAGTGGGTCTTCCTCAGCATCCAGTGTTTCTGTCTGCAGGTACGACTGTAGCTCAAAAGTTATGGCCTGGTCCTGTTGCAGAGGAGGTCCAGCAGCTTTGTCTGTGGTGACCTTGAAGAAGCTGCCCAAGTCCTTCTTCTTCTTCTTTGGAGCAGCAGCAGCATCCTCTGTAAAATCAGCAGACATTGCTGCTGTCACAAGAGGGGCATTCTCCTTGGAGGGAACATAT